AGGAAGGAAGGAAGGAAGGAAGGAAGGAAGGAAGGAAGGAAGGAAGGAAGGAGAGAAAGAGAGAAAGAAAGAAAGAAAGAAAGAAAGAAAGAAAGAAAGAAAGAAAGAAAGAAAGAAAGAAAGAAAGAAAGGGAAGAAATTGGAAAGCACAAGCCCAATCAAGATTATAATTTGATCACATTTTGATAGTCTTCTTTTTCTTGATTTCTACTGAAATTTATTCACCAAATTATTGAGAAGCCAGAGAAGTACAGTCTGAGTTCTTCTCAAATGGAGTTGTGATGGGGATTATTTAGTTTTAATATTAAATACAATTAGAAGAACATCGTACTTGGTAAGATAATGAACTTTCAATGATCTGTTTTAGGATTTTACAATCATCATTACTGAGGAAGATACTCCTGTTGCTATCATCTCAACTCAATTCTGGACCCTGTGGATGTAAAGTTTAACACTAGAACTTTGCAAATAGTTGATGGTAGTTAACTTGCGGCTAGAAATGTTTGTCTCAAGGACCCTCATGTGTCCTCTTAAAAATGACTGAGGAACCCAGAGAATTTTTATTTATATGAATTATATTTATTTGTATTTAATATTTCAGAAATCAAATTGGGAAGTTTAAAAACATGCACATAACTTATTTTATTTAAAACTCATGATATATTCTTGCAAAGTAAATATATTTTATAAAAATAATATTTTCCCAAACCAGAAAAAATTAGTAAGAAAAGTGGCATTGTTTTACATTTTTGTGAATTTCCACAGTGTCTAATGTCCAGCTTAATAGAAGACAGCTGAGTGTTCATACTTGCTTCTGCCTTCTCTTTATTGAATACCATACATCATGTAGCCTCCAGAAACTCCACTACTCACTCGGAAGACAATGAAAGTAAAAAGCCAAATAACATTTCAGTGTTATTATGAAAATAATTTGGAGCATGTGGATCCCTTCAAAGAATAGTAAGGAACCCCCAGAGATTTCAAACTACATTTGAGAACCATCAATCTCAATAAATAAATCCAATTTTATATTTTACCACAAATATCCTTTTCATAAGATTTTAATGGTGTCCCTGATTTTCCCTTAAAACCACCTCATACTGTTCATTTCTAGCAACAAAAGGCCTAAAGTCTTGGAGGGCACTTTGCCTCATGGGATTTCTTTTCTCCAATGGTCTTAATGAAATTTAAAAAAAAAAAAAAAAAAAAAACTACTTTATTCAAGCAGAATTGCCTAAGAAATGCGTTTAAGGAAAAGTGATTCTGAGGGTAAGGCAGGAACTCTTCTGCTCCTATGGTTCCTATGAGGTCAGATTTCCTGACCTCTCTGTCACCTTGTCCCTAGGACACAAGAGCCCACTTGCCTCCGACTCTTCATGTTGGAGCCAGTCTGCATAAGGAAAGCTTTGGCTTCAGGTTTTCTCCTGGTGATGCTGACCTCTTATGCAATAAACTGCCTACCTGTGGCTGGGAGGGTGAGCTGGCCTGATATGGAGTTCAGGGAAGTGTATTGTTAATAAGCATCAGACTGTGTCCACCATCTTGTGGTATGATGTATCAGTATCTCATGCCCATGTGGACTGGAATCCACTGGGATGGATGAGCTGGCCTGATACGGGGTTGAGGGATGTGTGCTGTTAATAAGCTTTTGATTGTGTCTGGCAGTACGATGTATCAGTATCCCACGCCCACATGGGTTAGAATCCATTGTGATGTTATTAATTGAACCCACTGATTTGCAATATCTATGGCGGAAAGAGGAAACAAGTGAATCCCAGAGTGTTCCATGTGGTGGCTTCAAGGTTCCCTAGCTCCTCCTTTTTTTTTGTGGGACAGAGATTGGCATGAAGAATAAGCTTTTCAGATAAGTATGCCTAGTTTGTGAACAAGACTTTCCATGTGATTTGACACGAGGAGCCACCCATAGCTTTGGGAAGTTTTACTGTCTTCATCGACTGCCGAGTCACACAAAAACTGACTGTCTGTGTCTGTCTCACCACAATCTGAGTTTGAAGTTGTATATTTATCTAACTGGGAATTCACAGATTTAAGCATTTCTAATAAGTAAAATTAGTTTGTAGTCAGTGAAATAAGGAACTCATTAAGGAACCTCAACAAGGAACAAAAACCAGAAATCTTTTTTAACCAAGGAAAACATACGAACTGAAAACCTTTGAGCCTAGGAAAGTAAAGAAATGGCATTATTTCCTTACTTTTGATTTATATTATTTTTAAAAAAATTTACATAAAGCCTTTTTCTTTTCACCTCCTGTTCCCTAAGTTTGAACCCGAGGTGAATTCATAATTTTGTGATTATGACATCAACCTGTTGCTATGGGAACATCTATGATTTAACAAACAGAATCATAACAACAGCGCTTTGTGCTATTTAGCATTTTTCATCTGAAGATTAAAAAGTATTTTGCAAACAGCATCTCAATAATCCTAGCAACCTCTCTTTCAGAATGTCTAAAACATTTTCTTTATTTTGATCATGTAGGGCTGAGAGGGCAGTAGAAGCAGAGGGTTTTACATAGATGCAGATATCATCTGTGCATAGACCGAGCTTCACTAAGACCCGGTAGAGCATTACGGTGCTCTCATTATAGAATCAGGGCTCTATCTACACATCAAAATGTAGATATCAGTTCTGCAACTGACGGGCATATCTTGACCAGGACATACGCTTGTCTGTCAATTTCCTGTGAGCCCCCTTGTGTATCTGCAGTTGAGCAGGTTAAGGCATCCTTGAGGATTTGCATTTTAAAAGTGTGAGCGCTCATCTCCAAGAAAAGTGAACTAAAACCAGGGAAGCTATTTTAAACGTCAACTGAATATTCTTGGACAGTTTTCTACAGGAAACAGTCCTAAACTAACAAAGAGAATGTTCAGCTGGGTTAGCAAGGCAGACTTCTCCTGCTTTGATTTCACGGGCCTGTAATCCATACCAGATGTCAAATCCTGAAATTCAGAGTTCAGAATTTTGAACTATTGTCTCCAGTGAGATCATAAACACATTTTATAGGCCTGCTAAGTCACACACCAAAACAAATTCTTAACAAATCATTTTTTTTTTAAAGAAAAAACAAAGGAAGTGAGGCAAACATGAACGTAAGAAATATACCTTTGAACCACTTTACTTGAGGTGGAGGAACCCCAGAGGTTTTACATTCCATAACGGTAGTATCCCCAAGGGCCACCAAGAGCTCACTCTGAACTACCACCAACTTAGGGGCTTCTGAAAAACACAAAGATACAAAACAGTCAACGTCTAGAAAATGCCAGGTGGACTTTAAGTCTGCTGAATGAATCAACAGACCTCACACCAGCATTATATCCCCACTTACATTTGTGTATAAGCAGAAAGACACCCTCATGCTGTGCATGTGTATACATGTATAGGATGGAAACATGAATGCTGAAGCCCAAACAAGGATATTAGACAAAAACAATGACAAAAGCTTGGAAGGTGACTGGAAAACAAAGGCATAAAATGTAGGAAAGTAATTAAGGGCTTTTGCTGAAAAAGCGACCTATAAGGAGACTGGGCTCAGACAAACGGATGCACCCTGCACCCACAACACTAAAAGAAGGGAAGAGAAGAGTGATCCAAATCAAAATGGAGTTGAAAGAGGCATAGGGTTAATATGCTCAGCTAAATTAAGACGTGAAGCTAATACAATTACAGATGAACTAAAATCATATTTCCTATGTGATTTTTGAGGGTGTTTATGTTGTAATCTTATTAATTGTCTTTCATTTTTTTCTGTTCCCCGCCCCCCCGCCTCCGCCATGTTGACGGTGCCCATTCCTGTGATACGTTTATTTCTTTATGTTTATGGTTCATGGTGTTTTCCTTAGTGTTTCTTGCTTTATTCGTTGGCACTAGCTCACTGACTCACTTTCTCTTACCTAAATGGTTCGAGACCTTCCTAACTTCAACTGACGTTGCTTTAAACAAAAAGAAGAGTTTTCTTCCTAAAGATCACGTCATTCCCCTGCTAAATCCCTCCAACAAGCCATGCTGCTTTCGAGCAGTTTGGCTTTCAAAGCCCATAAACTGCTTCCTTTTCAGCTTCACCTGCAGTTGACATGCTGGCTTATCACTGGGTACAGAGCTCTACTTGGGAGCCCCAGAGACAAAGCTCTCTGCTCTTCCATTCCTTCCCCGCCTTTTCCTTCCTCCCTCTTCCCCAAACCCTCCCTTGCCACAGTGGCTCTTCAAATTCCACTCATTCTTTCAGATTTAACTCAAATCCGATCTCCTTTGGAAACTCTTGGACATTCCCCAGTCAGAATTCATCTTACCTCTGCCGGCATCTGGCCCTGGCCCCACATCCCCTCGGTAATTGTCTGTGCTTTGTTTTTATAGTTTTATGTCTCAACTCCTGTTCCTGGAGCCTTTAAAGAGTCGAGGCTACTACTATGGCATGGATTTTGGTTGGTTGTTTGTGTTTTAGCATTTGGTCTCCAGCAGAGATTTTTGGCATGTCCTGGGTATTATACAGCAAAGAAATTTGAATATTTGGCTTCTCTGTGAAAAACACAAAATTCACTTTTGCTGTGCAGAATTCTGTGTTCATCACTGAGTACACATGCTCATCCTCAGCTACCACTTTGCCTGTTTTCTGTGAACATTTTTAATCCAGTTACTTCTGAATCTGAATCCACCTTCCCTTAAATAATTACTCTACATGTGATACTCACTTCCTCGAGGCCCCTGTGACATGACGTTTACATCCTCCATCATGCCAACTCATCCTTGCATGCCAACTCATTCTCTATTTTTATTGTGGCTTCCCTACACTTCTCTCCTCAACACTGACAGTTTTAATGTCTTACCATGTTTGGAGTCAAGGTAAAGTGAGTGAAAAGGCAGACTATTCATTTATCCAAATAAAATATTCACAATCTGTAGCCTGACACTGAACATATCATGATATTTTCAACCAATATTAGGAAGTTCAAATTAAACACAGATATGCTCTAAAGTTATATCATTATATATACCTTAATAAATGCCTTAAGTTTGGAAGGAAAAATGGTAGATGAAATATGAAAATAATATGATACCATGAGTTTTGATTATAAGTAGATAAATACAAAATGCAGGGTGAGATGAGAAAAGACATAGACATTTTTATTTTGAAAATGAAGTATTACCAAAAGTAAATCATGGTAGGGTATAATTCTGTGGACAGTCTAGAAGTCTTTCACAACCTGGACACTTCTTTGATTTCTGTTGACAGATTTCCTCACTTATGTACCATATTTGCTTTAATCAATATGTGACATGAGTGATAAATTACAGTATTGGATACAATTGATCTGTAGCATTAGTTCTCGGGAAGGATCTTTCCGTCACTTGTGAGGCTATTCACCCTGTTTCCATTGCCTTTTAAACTGACTATACTTGCCGATGTATCTGAGAGTAGAAGTCTGCTTATCAGTTCCAGCTGCATTGCTTGCCAGGCAACCGTAGGTCCCTGCATCTTTGGGAACTGCATTCTTGATGAATAAAGTGCCTTCTGGGGTCATCCTGTACCTTTGGATTGAAAAAATTAAATTAAATTAAAAATACTACAATAGCATTGTATTATAGCATGAGAACACTATAATACCCTCTTCAAATATTTCAGAGTTATAATTTCATTCACTTCAGACATCACCAAGAGCATCATATTACAAAGAAAGATGTAATAACAATAATAATGGATAATGTCCTATTTTTGAGCCTAGTTTCTCTGATAAAATATGCTGACAAAAAGCAGCATGGGGAGAAGAGACTTATTTGGCTTACAATTCCAGGTTATGCTCCATCATTACGGGGAAGCCAAGGTAGGAACTTGAAGTAACTTTTCCCATCCCATTCATAGTCAAGAGCAGAGAGAGAATGAATGCATGCATGCCTCTTGCTTAGCTTATCTCTTCCCTCTTGAAGAGTTCAGGACCCAGCCCATGAAATGTGCCGCCTACATTCAGAGTGGGTCTTCCCACTTCGATTAAGCCAGTTATGAAAAACCCCTCAGAGGCGTACGCATAGCCCGACCTGATCTCGACAATCCCTCACTGATTTTACAGATATGGGAGGAGGTTGCACACCTTACTCAAAATCAGAGTTATTCAACGAAAGTACTAGAATTTGCACACAGGTAGTCTTAGCTCCTGTGGTGAACTGCCCAGCAAAGGGTCCTTCAACATGAAAACCTGAGAGAGGCAATACCCATATATTGCCCACGGAATCTGTGATGGTTCTGGGAATAGAATCTGGCTCAGTTTGTTGGAGCAAATCTAAGCCTCCCTCTCATGCCAAACCAGGAGTAATGGAAGCCTGATGGCCAGAAGTCCTTATGTTTCTGACCCACATAACTACTGCTTTCCGAGCCGAGAGGACTCTTTAGGAAGCATACAGTAGCATAAAAGTGTCCTTAGCATACCATAGCAATGGTGGCAGCAGATCTCAGGAACATCTGCAGCCTGCAATGGAACTCCTTTTGTGTCCTCCAGTCCTTCCCGCTTCCTCTTTCCCTCTAAACTCATGGCAATGCCTTACATAGGTTGATGATAACTATATCATTTTTCCCAAGATAAAGTGTATTATCCGGTTTCAGCTCAAGCTCGAACATAACAAATCATGGTGTCATGTGTACAACTCAAAAGACTGGAGAACACTTGATCTTACCTACTGAAATTAAGGATTAATAACTTCCAACTTTTTAAGGTCACGATTTGCATTATTTTTTTTGACATTTCCTAGCCTGTTTAGAAAGTATAAAGCCATAGATTTTCATCAAGTTTTAATACTAGGGATGATCAGGTCTGATTCACTTAGTCTCAAATTTTCATCAGCTTTTCTCATTCAATAAAAACAAAGAAGATGATACAAACCCAGTACCTGTGTGAACCCATGATAAACATCTCATTAACGGTCCAGACAATCTTTGGTTTGGGATAGCCTGTTGCAGAACACATGATGGAGACTTCAGACCCTCCGGTGAAAGACTGGTTCTTGGGCATCACAGTGACTTTGGGTTTTTCTGTAAATGAAATGGAATTTTGATAGTGAAATGCCCAGTTATATTGACATGAGATGTGTGGGCTTTATCAGGAGTTGCTTAAGCTTCCACCATCTACACTTTATTATTTGGAGGAGAGAACCCAATCACGGGTCTGGAGTCTTAGCAAAAGAATGAGACTAAAGGAAATGAAGACCAGAGAATCAAACTTCCCTTGGAAAAAATGAACTTGATCCCAAAGGCATGTTTCTGTCTCCACTGGTTACCATGAGCCACCTCTAGGCTCTAGGTTTTGTTTGCTGTTCTGAAACTTCCCATTAAACATTTTTTTTTTTCCTGGCAAAGTCCTCCAGTGAAGGCTCAAGCTCTTTTTAAACAGAGAAGGTAGATTTGGAGACTCAAAATCCTGTGTTTGAATCAATCTTTTTCTTTTGATAGAAAGTCTGAGACCATGTCCTTCATACTATACGTCCCCCATCATTTTCCATTTAACATCTTAGAATCTGCAGTGGGTTGGATTGAAATGATACTTTACACAGTTGATGGACGAACAGCCATTCTTCAATCATAATAACTGCCAGCCCCTCTTAAGACCTGGCTGTAATGGTCACGTGACTCGTGCATGCACATCCTCAGGACCCCAATATAACAAGAAATGGTAATGACTCAAATTATCTAATGTTTTCCACTTGTATGGACAGAAAAAAAACACTTTTGAAAATTAAATTTGAAGCCTGCAATTTACTGTCGACATATAACTGGGATGTTGTTATATATATATATATATATATATATATATATATATATCACAGCTCCTTTGCTCTCCCCTGCTTTCTGTGATCGTATGTTAGGCTGCAAGCATTCCTCTCCAAAGACAGGGCTATCAAAGAAATCGTCAACAATTCTCTTAGGAAAACCCTCCAGCTGATTGAGTAGAAGGAAACGAGCTCCCTTTCACGGTGTTTGAAGAGCCCATCAGTTCTGAGAGAAGCAAGCTAGCTCAGCTGGGGCTTGCTTCTGCGTTGCTCACGTTCCTGTACACAAACCAGGAACTGTGCTGACTCGGATACATGTGGCTTTCTATCTCCGCACTCTGTTTCGTTGAGCTTTTATTCTAGATGACACTGAGAAATTCAATTAACAACAGAGACCCGGATATGCTTATGATGGATCACTCTACAGCAGGCTAGTGTGCAAATTGCGGCTTACTTTCACTAGGAGAAATCAGTCTCCAGAAGCCCTCTTCACTCGAGGGAGGTAGCCGTGAAGCTGTTGCACAAATGAAGAACTAATTAGTGCTTAATTGCTAGCAGCTTAAAAATCACCCTTCTCCTTTTTTTTTCCTGTTTACATTGAAGCTCTCAAATTATGATCTAGTCTTTGAAGTCAATGTTTAAGAGCTTTTTCCGGCCTGTGGACCGGGTTGATAGCCTCACTATTCCACAGATTCTTCTCAGCGAACACAGCGCCAAAGAAATGCATGGGGTCAAGGGCAGACTGGCCACAGCCAGTCAGTGCACACTGTGATTCCATCTGGACTCCATCAGCTCTGAAAGGCTGAGGGACTGCACATGGAACAGGGGTATCCTCGACAGTCTTCAGGAGATGAAGAGAAAGAGGAGCGATTCTTTTCCTTTTCCCAATTCATTGGAACTCCCAAATTTATTTGGTCCCACCTTTCTAAAGTAACATGTTTCTCGTGGCTAACTCCGGTTAACAGGGGACTGCTGCATCAGGCGGCTCTCAAGATTTTTGTCTAAACTTGGTGCCTGGCAATGAAGTCTGCCAGAACTGGCCTGGCATGCATCCCAGCAAGAATCCCACTGGTAGGCTCTGTGGTTCAGATATCAAAGTAAAAATAAATGTCAGTTACTCAAACCAGGATGCAGGGAGCGAAGAGGTTATTGAGCAAATAAAGCCTGGATGTAGGGTGCTGCCTGGGGTCATGAAATAAATCTTTGTGGAACATACAGATGGGATGACCTCATCCCGCCAGAGGTGAGAAATTTACCATTGCCCCGTGAAGACTATTCCTGCTGGTGATAAGAAAATCAGAAAGGGCATGAGCAAACACAGGGAGGCAAACCTGGCTGCCCACCAAGAGAGATGGTGAAAATGAGTCAGCCCTTAATTAGGTTAATAAGGACATAATACCTCTCGCTATAATGGCTTTAATTGTTAATTTTTTAACCTATAGGGAAATAATTCCCGTTTTTAGTAAAGTAGCGGAAATAGGACAAGAGTATGACATAGAGGAACCATAATTTAATGGTTCCTTTGGTGCAATGACCTCTTTAACCCACAATCAAATCCACACCCCCTTATTTATAAAGCTGGCCCCATTTTAATGGGGAAAACATATTAAGTTGGATTCAGAAGCTAAAGTCCAGTCTTAGGCCCTGGGGGTAAGCAGTTGGTTTTTGTTTTCAGTTTTCATTCTCATTTCACAACTTTCTCACCACCACGTCACCCATCAGTACCACCATCTTCCATAGCAGCACGCTGATGTTTTATTTCTAAGTTAAAACAAAATATATATCTTCAAAGTAATTTCTCATCAATGATTCAATATATATATATATATATATATATATATTCAATGTATATATACATACATACACACATTTGATACATACAAATAGTTTAAAGTCTTGAGTGTCTTTATGAACTATTGGAATGAATTATAAATGGCCATGAAAATAAGCAGCATTCCACCTACTAGGATGAGCAAACCAAAACCAATTTTTATCACCTCTTGGAAACTGCCAGAGTCATCCGTGCAGTAGGAGGTGTGTATTCTAACTGCAGCAAATGGTTTGTTGTTCTTGAGCCAGTGACTGGGAAAATTTCAGAGACCACATCTAAGGAGATTTATCTTCAAGGAGATTTAATCATGAATGACAAATTAATCAGCTAACGTTAGTGCTTTAACCTAAGCAACTATTCTCAATATTTAACCACCATAGGCATATTTAGAGCATTTCGGCAAATTTCTGTACGTTTTTATTAATTTTTCACTCAACATTCATTTATTGAGAACCTACTATGTTCTAAACGCTTTATACTCTCAAATAGTTCACACACAGAAATGCATTGTTTTGTAAAATTAAAGGCTGCATTTCTTTTTACTGTCCATTTACAACTTGCTGTCAACTGAGTCCATTTACTGAAGTAGAAACGTAGGCTTAGTTTTGTGTGCATTATTTGCACAATACTGAATGCTAGACTCACTTTACAGATGAAAAGTTAAAGCTCAGAAGAGTTTAAGTTTCCCAAAGGTAGAGCTAGGAATAAACTCTGGTCTTGCTGATGCCATGTTGTCTATACTTTACTAGAAATAATATTACGGGGGCTGGAGAGATGGCTTAGTGGTTAAGAGCACCGACTGCTCTTCCAGAGGTCCTGAGTTCAATTCCCAGCAACCACATGGTGGCTCACAACCATCTGTAATGAGATCTGGTGCCCTCTTCTGACCCAGAACACTGTATATATAATAAATAAATAAATCTTTAAAAAAAAAAAAAAGAAATAATATTACCTACCGCAGAGGGTTATGCTGGGTCAGCTAGGCTTGTAAACATAAAACAGCAATTCCTGGCACCTAGATGCCAGATTACTGCCGATTTAATTGTTAATCTTCCATTATTTGTCAAAACATGACAAAATAAGTAATATGGAATTTTAAATACCCCTGTGCATGTATACTATGAAATAATAACCACTATCCTCAAATTCTATTTACCTCATCCAACTATTCGTAAGTAATGCTTATTCTTATGAAACTTAGGACTGTCTCTTAATACTTAAAATTTATTCTAGGTTTAAGTAAAAATTTAAAATCGTTTCTCTACTTTACAGATAGGGAAAAAGAATGCTAATACCTATGTAAGCAAGCACGTGTTAAGTAATGATGATTCAGTGAACATATGTTTATGTTCATGCCAATTTCATACTCAGTGAAGTAATTCTGGTCATCAGAGATTTACTTCATCAATCATCTTGGAAGATATTTTCCTTTTTATTGTACTATTGTCTCTGGTAATTATTCTCATTATTAGTCTCTGGACTAATTACTGATAGATATCCACCCTCTCATAACATTATAGAAAACATACTAATCCACCTAATGGTCCAATAGAAATAGCATGGAGGAGAGCTGATGGCTGTTTGACCCTCTGCTTTCCACATGGCAGTATGTGGCCCTGCAGCTGTAGCTACCCACTGAATCTGTGTAAGGAGGGCAGGCCTCCTGTGTTGTTCTCCAGCAGGAAGCATCCTCCTTATGGGGAGGGGGGCAGCAAAGAGACTCCCAAAGCGGGAGACTGTTTCAAACAATACTATAAAATTAACATCATACATAGACATACATCTCATCACTTTTCTAACTTATAAACCGGACCAGCAGCACAAGCACTTGTAAGTTTAGCAGCTACTGAATCATATTAAAAGTTTTTTAGAAATCACTTTAGCCTGTTGTAAAACTTACGAAACTTGCATGCCATATTTCCTGAGTTGGGGTGAACTAATTAAAACAATATTTAAGAATAACAGCTTCGTCATTGTTTTCGTGAAATAATTACCAGATTATATTATAAGTTTGGGTTGAAAATGTAAGCAGTAATATGCTGGCCTGTGCTACAACTGGAAAAGAAAACACTTACATAATGAAATCTAAAACTGGGGATGTGACTCAAAGAAACCACTGGAAGCTAAGGAAACATGAAAGGTCAGGTGAGGGACCCAAGACAACACCGTGAAGACCTACATTCAACCAAACCATCCACCTGATTTGTAGTTTTGAAATTAATAGCTGATTTATTCTGTTCCTAAATTTACTTTTCATTGTGGATAATACATGTTGTGAGCATGTTAAATGATCTATGAGATTCTCATGAACAGCACTACAGGAAAAACTGGAAAATAATTTGCACTGAATTTCTGAAACAGATTTCTACTGTATTGTACAACTGTAAAATGAATTCTACAGAGTCTGATCTTTTTTCTAAACAACTGTGCTTGTC